AGCTCCACACAGCACTGACTCCTTCTCTCCTCTCTGCGAGTTTCCTTCTTCCTTCTGCATGACCAGCTAAACTCCAAGCTGCCTCTTTCCTGGCCACCTAACCCTGTCTGTCCCTCACACAGCATCTTCTTACCTAATCTATCCCTGCACAACCACGTGTCCCTTCCTCCTCACAGCACAGCCAGCAGACACCAGCCCAAAGTGCAGCAAGACTCTGAATCTCAAGCTCCAACTCCATCTAACCCTTGACCAGCTCACCCACTCTTTTATAACCCCCATCCTCACTGGGCAGGCAAGGTTCCCATTAAACTTATGTACAAACTGTCTTCTGCTTCCCTGGGCAGGGAGCAGAGCCCATCACCCTGGGCTGGAGCATCCCAGGGGAAAGCCCTGCCTGGCCCTGGCTGCAGGGAGATGCTGCAGTGAGTGAGCTGCAGCCAGGCTGCCAGCCCGTGAGAGCTTTTCCCAAGGGATGGGAAGCATCAACATATGCTGGGCTCACCCCACAGACCCTGAAGCTGAAACCAGCTTGTCAGGAGGAAGGGTGGCAGGGCAGGGCCTGGCCCAGTGTCCTCGGTGACAAGTGAGCATTTGTCACCGTGGGATCTGCCAGCACATTTCTCCATCAGGCTTTTTGCCCATGTTTGACCTCTCCTTTTTGCCTGCTCAGCTGAAGCACGGAGAGGACACGCCATCCACCACTCTGCAGATGCCAGCAATAATGTCACACCGAGCTGCCCGAGCCCTGGTGGGGGACACACTCATGTCCCACCATCAGTCTGGCTCTGCTAAGCACATGTGACAGGCTGGAAGAGCTGGGATCTGTTCCAGGCACTGCCTGTCCTTTACTGTCCCCTGCCACCTCTGTTCTGACAAGAGAGGAGCAGCTTGCAATCCAAGGAAAAAACATAAGAGGTCAAGTTTTTTTACAGTACAAGAATATTATAGGAATTAAAGAATGAGCTAAAAATCAGAATAGATCAGAATTCCCAGCTCCTCTGGATATGGGCAACCCCCAGGTCCCCACTGCTGCCATTCTCTGAGCAGGAGAGAGCCCCAGCCCTGGCTGCCCCCAGGTTTCACATCCCATTTAGAGCTCCAGGCACAGCAAGCAGCCGTAGGGAGATGTCACACATTTGGAGATGTCATTTAGAGGTGTCACCTCACTTCAGAAGGGAAATTAAACAAAGGTCTTCCTCATCCAGATCATACAAAACTAACATTTTTCTTTGAAAAGCCTTGCTAGCCCAAGCATCTTCCTGTCTGCCCAAGTGCTGGTGGCTACCCCGTGAGCTCCCAGTGCTCCCCAGTTGAAGTCACTGGTAAATCACAGAGCAGCTCTTCTCCCTCACAGTGCAAGCCCCTGAGGCTGGAGCAGCACAGCCATAAGGAAGGACAGCTTTAGGAAAGACTAGTGGGAGAATCTAAGCACAAAAATACCCTAATGCTTGTTTTAAAAAATGTCAACAAAGGTTCCAGACCCCGTGGTGCCCTCAGGGTGGGTGCATTCCCTGCAGCAGCACCATTCACCTCCCCACATTTCTCTTGCTTCAGTTGCAGCCTGCCCTGGCTCTCAGCCCTAACGTGAGGATTTTCAGGAGATGTTCTACTCCATGTCCTACCTGTCCTCCTCCACAGTCACCTGAGCACTCTCCAGGAGCCATCCCTGGTCCCTGGACTCTTGCTTTGCCCTGTTCACACCATTCCAGGGTGTGGATCCCTGGATTTACTCCTCCTTTTACTCCTCCCATAGTCTGACACCATCACAGTCATAGAATAGAATGCTCTGAGCTGGAAGGGACCCTCAGGGTTCATCGAGTCCAGCTCCTGTTCCTGCACAGACACCCCAACTATCCCACCCTGTGCCTGGCAGTGCTGTCCAAGCTCTCCCGGGGAGCCTGGGCAGAACCTTTCCCTGATGTTTAACCTAAACCATCCTGACACAGCTCCAGCCATTCCCTGTGTCCTGACATTGGTCACTGGAGAGATCAGGGACCCCTGTGACCCCTTCTGAGGAACTTGTAGGGTGCAATGAAGTCTCTCCTCAGTTTCCTCCAGGCTGAACAAGCCAAGTGACCTCAGCTGCTCTTTGTATGGCCCCACAACACCCTTCACCACCTTCACAGCCTTCCCTTACCACTTTCTCCTATGGTGGCACCCAAAACGTCACACAGGACTCGAGGAGCAGCACAGTGGGACAATCCCCTCCCTCTGCCAGGCAGGGATCTGTCCTGCCCAAACCCTCCCAGCCTCCACACAGCCCTGGAGATGTCCAGAGCTGGGCAGTGTGGCTCTGGCCAGCCTGGCTCCGGACAGCCTGGCTCCAGACTGTGGTCACTGTTTGGATTAAGAGCCACATCAGAAGGAAAACTTTCCAAAGGACTTCCAGCACAAGTTCCTCTCCACACCAGCTCTTGCCCCAACACAAACAAACCTCAGGGATGTTTGGGATGCTGAAGGGATCACAGGGCTGGGTTTGTGGCACAGTTTGCAAGCCCAGCCCCTCCACCCAATTCACCCCCACATTTTCCATGTGCCAGGCAGGGCAGGATGATCCTGCACTGCTTGAAGCTGGTCTTGCTGAGAGCCCCCAAGGTGCCAACTCTGCCAGGATTTACGGAAGTTTTAACCCGGCAGCTTGAGTTAAAGCACTCAGGAGGAAATTCTTGCTGCCTCCCAGATGGAATTAAAGGAGAAGGGATGGGGGTGCCATCTCTGCTGCCCCCCCAAACCCACACCAACCCTCCCACAAACACATCCAGGGCAGAGAAAGCACAGAGAGCGCAGGAGTGCCCTGTGCAGGTGGTACCTTGGCTGGCACTCTCTCCCAGCACAGAACTCATGGATGGGCTCGGGCCGGGTCATGGCATCACAGTAGGTGTCGTCCACCTCGATCCCATCATAGCGAACACACATGGCATATGTGGACATCACTCCTGGGGCCAGAGAGAACACACACACAGCAGGGGGCTTGCTGAGCTGCACATCCAAACTCTGGGTTGTTTTTAATTGTTGTTTTTCTGGGTTTAGCTGCGTTTCTCAAAATTTCCTCCCAGCAAAGCAGCGAGCTGGACTTTGTGTCCCATAGGATGGGAGGGAATATCACAGTGGCCACCTCAGTCTGAGCACTGTGGTTGAGTTTGGCCAGCTCACAGGAGGGCACGGCCACCTCTGCCAAGGCCTGCCACCAAAACCAATATATGACTAACACATTTTTATAGGAAATGCTCAGCCCTGCCAGGCTGGTGGGTGGAGGAGACAGCAAACAGCCCCCAACCCACTCCATCCCCCCCCTCACTCTCCCTGTGCATTACACCAGGTGCTCCCCAGGTGCATGCAGAGCTCCAGGCCAAGGCAAGGATCCTGGAGGTTTGGCAAGGAAAGCCCTGCCCCTCCTGCTCCCCCTCCAAAGCAGCAGCAGCCGGTGCTGTCAGAGCGAGACCTTTTCCCCCACAGCCTCCCGTGCCAGAGTAAATGTTGGGAAGTCCATTCTGGGACCTGGCTGGGGACCAGGAGGCTGCTCTGGCTACAGGTAACAAGAATTGCAGCTCTGGGGAACATATGGTTTACATGAAACGAAAAAAAGATCTACAGCTCTTGACACGGCCTCGCCTCTCTGCGATATGTCACTGAGAAAAGGCAGTGGGGAAAGAGAAATTTGAGTTAAACCTCTCTCGGCTTGCTGCAAACCAGGGCAGAGCAGGCTGGCCCGGCCAAGGGAGAATTTTGTTCAGAGGGGATCAAAGAAGTTAAAAATGTCCCAGAATGCGTGGATGACAGGATTTTGGGGAAAGGGACGGCTCGCAAAGCTCCTGCTGCAGGCACGAGGCTGCTGGACAAGAGCAAATGCTTAAAATGTAAAATCCTTGCATTTGGTCTTTTAAGAGATATCCCTGAAATTGTAGACTCCTCTCTCCCACCCCCTGTTTTTAATTCCAGAAGCACTGCAGGCTGTGGATAATTCCAGGGGCAGCACAGACAAGTGCACGACCCACACGCCTGATTCATCCCAAGGGATCACCAGGACCCCCTAACAAGGGGTGAGGGAGGAGATCAGGTGCCTTGAAACTTTTCAGGGGGCAAAAAGGGAGGAATTCATGCAAAAAAAGAGGGAATTTCTGCCTGAAGAATAGAGGCTCAGTTTCAATATCCCTGGCATCTCTGTCACCGTTCCAGATTTACACCCTCACAGCTGAGCTCAGGCTCCAGGGTAGAAGGAGTGGGAGAAACAAAACATAATCAAAAAGCCAAATGCTATTGTGTTTCCTGCCAGAGCTGAACAATCTTTAAAATTTCTCTCTGCAGGGAAGCAGCTGAGCTTTTCAAACGCCTTGAAGCTGTCAAAAAGGTGAGGAAGAGGGGGAAGAAAAAAAAAAAAGAAGAGGCTCAGCATAAGTTTGGGGATCCCGCTGAGCCCCAGGGGAGACACAGAGTGAGGGGAAGTGAAGGCAGGGCTCAGAGCTTCCCAAAGGGAGGGTGTTTGGAGGGGTGATGGACACATTGGGCACCAAATCCTGGTCCTCAACACACCTGAGAGGTCGGTGGGCTTTGCATGCTCAGCCCCCAGCTCCTCTCCCACCTTTAGCACCCAGAGCTGGGGTCGTGCTAAAGCAGAGCTCACGAGATCCCCTGAACATCACCAGCTCCTTCCCATCCCTCACAGACAGAAAATGGACTCACACACCAGGTGATTTCAGCAGGCTGTGCAGAATTTGGCTGCTTCTTATAACTACCTGTGGTGCATGTAGAGCTGCAGGGTTCATGGGAGGAAAGCTTCCACCTGTACATGTCAGCAGCACTCACACCTTGGCCCTTTCTTAACAACTTCAATCTGTTTCTAGCGATAAGCAAACAAAACAAAAACAAAAAAATAAAATAAAAAAGAAAAAAAAAAAAAGAAAAAGAAAAGAAAAAAAAAGAAAACAAAAACAAAAAAAAGGCATTTACAAGGCAAGCAGTGACAGCCCACGACAGACACACACATCTGGCTGCAGTTCGGTTGGGTTTGGGTTTGGGAGGGGATGTGCTTGGTTTGGCTTTGGTTGGGTTTGGTTGTTCTGATTTTTTGGGAGGTTCGTTCGTTTGAATCAATTTTTAATTTTTTTTAGTTTCACAACATACCTGTCCTGAGCCCCAAGTAGAATCCCCAGCCCGGTTAGAGGCAGAGCTTCCACTGTCTAGAAATAGAGAGAATGGGATAAAAATACCCACAAGTAGAAACAGTTCAGAATTTAACAAAGTTTGCATTTTCTGCTCAAATACACCTGGCCCTCGGCACACAGTGACTAAAGGTGCAGTATCTCCTCCCCTGTGTCTCCAGGGCTGGGCAAACCCACTCGTGCTGCTCAGTGCAGCAGAGATTTTGGCTGCTCCAATCTCCAAAAGCCAGCACAGGAGTTTCTGAGCTCGCCCCTCAAAGCCCACTGCTTTTGCCACTCTGCTTTTGGTCTGATTTATTTCGCTGGGAATTTGCATCTCTCAGATCCACGCTGGGCTCAAACACAAAATGCCACGGGGAGAGGAGTGACAGAGTCAGCCTGGTGTGAGAAACAACATTTATCCAAGTGAGAATTGCAGCTGCTCCCCATGCTGGGAGGGGGGAACACCTCAGGGATACTGCACCTTTACAACAAAATGTTCTCATACCTTTGTACAAACCCTTGAAACAGCTACACTGGAATAGTGTACAAAGTTGTATCCTCACATCCAGTTGTCTCTGGCCTGGCAGGATATGCAGCTTGTATGATTTCTAGGCAGCAGAAGCTCTGAAATTGCCTTATTTAGTTGTTTGCAAGAAAAAGTTGAGGTCCAGCCTATCAAATCAACCTTTAAGAGGACACTGTTGAGAATCCAGCCATTTCCTTTCTGACCCACCCTCCTTCCACCGCCAGCACTGAGCCTCCAGAAGGATTAAAAACAACAACAATCTCATTTTCCCTGTTGATTTTGCCTCTGTCAGTTTGGCAAATGCTTGCTTCCTGGGCTTGAAATGGAACTGAAATGAAAGTGACTTTTATTTTTTTTTTTTTTAATGGAAAAATAACAGCCTCAGCTCACTATAAATAGTGTTTTATCTGCCACAGCAGCTCTGCCTGAGAACCCACACCAGCTCCTGGTCCCTACCCTGTGCCACCAGCTGCCACCCAGCCAGGAGAGGGCTCATAAATGACACTTGTCATTAAAACACAGTAAACATCTGCTTTTTGTACTTTAATCTGCCTGGAAATATTACCCAGATCCTCCAGTCTATATCCTACCCTCCAAGGCATGAAAGTAAACACCAAGTTATCCCGTGACCACGATTACTCTGTCTTGAAAAGGAGAACAATCTTCAAAATAAGCTTTATCCCACATCTGAGGACAGTAAATCTTTCAACAGTGTCCCTTTAGTGTATGTGATCTTAAATAAAGAGCTTCTATGCATGACAAGGTCCCAGGGACAAGATCTTTCCAGAGGAATCAGACATTTTCAGCTCATTTCCAGCAGAGACAGAACTGTCACTTTGTTCTCCTCTAAATGCAGACAGCAGCCCATTGTTCAACAAAACTGGGGGCATTTTCTCTTTTATTTTAATTTTCCTCTTTATTATGAGCTAAATAATAAAGTCACGCATTTGCTTCCCGAGCTTTTAATGTGCTTTTCAAGCAAGATACAGCACCAAAAATTAGCACCAGTCCCTCACCCTGAACTGAGTTCTGGGCTGCCCCTTTTCCCAAAACAGCTCCCCTAGTAGAGGAATAACCCTGACAAATGCACACAAACAGCACAGATCAACATCCACAGTCCCTGGCTCCCATTTCTGTGTTTTATTTTGGTTTTTGTTTCTCAGCAAAGGGCCAAACTCGTGGCTCCTGTTGCAGGCTCAGCCCTGGCTGCACACTGGGATAGAGGGTGCCTGGGACAGCCCAGGAAAGGTTTTCAGCTGCTCCAGGAGAGGAAAAGCAGCACAAGAGCCACCAAGCCATCCATCCCAGCTGGATTTGTTTCCAGAGAGGAAATTAGGACAGCCCACACTGGTGCAAGGTGCTCATGTAACTGGGTACCTCCATCCACACCACAATGGTTCAGTAGGGAAATAAACTCCTCCACCTCTAACCAGCACTGTCCCTCATGGCTGCAGAGAGCTCAGCTTCCCCTGTTGGTTCACTGACAGGGAATGAAAATGAACAAAAAGCCACAATCCATCCCAGACTGATCCTGGGAAAGATTTGGGAGGTCTCAAGTCCAAGCTCCTGCCCCCAATAACAGACTGGGCTCACGGGGCCTTGCCCTTTCCCAAGGATGGGAATCCCTCATCCTGCCTCACTCCAGGACAGGAGATTTTTCCTTGTGTCCCATCCTTTTTCCTCCAGCACAGTTCTGGCTGTCCCCTCCAGCTCCATCCCTCCTGTCCTGGTGGGACAACTCCAGTCCACAACACACCAAACCCCACATCCCACTGTCACTGTGGGCTTTATCCCACCCTGCTGGTGCCAGGAACATTAATCCTGGCCTCAGGGGCTGAGCTGCAGCTCCTCATCCCTCACTCCCACCCTGGAAATCCAGGTTAGTGATCAGTGTTACGACAGCTACTGGGCTTGAGGAAATAAATTAAAAGTTGAGGGAAGCAGTAAAGGCCTGGGAACAACCAGGCTGTGCTGACACATCCCATCCCACCCTCTGGAATGAGGTGCAAGTTGTTTGTTGCCTTCTTCTCTTCCTCCCTCTTCTTTTTGTCTCCAAATAGAGGCACCCCAGCTGCCCCCAGTCTGCCTGCACTGGTCTTTCAGCCTCCCACCATCAAAGGATGGAGCCAGAAAGGACCTGAGCATCTCTGAGCCTTTTGGCTGGTGCAAAACTGGTCTGGATATCAGTGTTTTGATCTGAGAAGTTTGTATTTTGTGTTAGAGAGGGAGGGTGAGAAGAGAGGACACTGTAGAACAAAACCAAGGGAAGAATAGGTGGGGAAAGATGTCAGTGCTCGGTGACATCCCTGGAGGGGTTTAAATCACTTATCAATAGATGGCCAGCCAGGGACAGTGCAAGGAGCTTTTTTAGTTCCAAAAAGCTGCACTGGAGCCACAGTGACCTGTGACTGCCCTGTAAAAGCCAAACTGCACTGAGGTCTAAAGCTCCCTGTATTCCTGGGAGGTAGGAAAGCACTGCCCCCATTTCACAGCTGCTGGGGTAGATTTTTGGGGTACAGGGGGGCAGCTGAGAGGACACAGGGAGTGTGATGGGGCCCAGGGCAGTCCCTTCCTTGCCCCAGGGCAGGGTAAGGGGAGCTGAGGGCGCTGCCCTCTCTGTCAGAGGATGGATGAAATGCTTGCTTTGGCAGCTGGAGGCAGCTCTCCCAAGCCAAGCCACGAGGAGAAATGACAGATTGGAGCCCTTGGCAGCGTTTTCATGTTCTTATCATTAAGAAGTTTGCTGATGCATTTGGCTGCATGGCCATTTTCTTTAGCATGAGTGTCTTCAGCATAACGTAGTGGAAGTTGTAGGTAAATCCAGCTAACTCTAACCAGAGGGAGCATCTGCTTAGGGTTTTTTATCTCCTCAAGCTCAGCATCCTATCCTGTGTTTTATAGATCCAGGAGGAGGCTGGGGTGCCGTGGGGAAGCACAGTGGGACCCAAATCCACAGCCTGCCTCTGGGACCTGGATGCTCCCAAGGCTCCAGTTTCAGCTCAGGCTGCCCAGAGAGTGCTCTAGTGTGGCTGACCATGAAGGAGGGCTAATTGGAGGGCTAATTGCTGCTGTGGGCACTGGCCCCATCCCAGTCCCCATGTGCCCACACTGGGAATGAGTTCTGGGCTGGGAATCAAAGCTGCTCTGCAGAGAGCCCTGGGACACCTCAAAAGCTGATAGAGACTGATCTTGGGGATCAGCAAGACCTCCTTCCACCCTTCCCCAGAGCAAAATCTGCTGCTAAAGCTCATGAATCCTTTCTTTACCTCCCCACTTCCACTCAACCCAGCCATCTAAAGGAGTCCTGAAGTGCTGGTCCCAGTATCAATCAATGAGCTGCTACTGCAGAGCTTTGGGTATTCCTGTCCAAGCTGTGGCTCCCTGAGCTGCTTCTGCAGCTGCTGAGGCAACAAATCCAGGCTGTTCCTGCAGGATCTACAATGGAGTTCCCATTGCAGGGCCACACCTGGGAGCTGCTGGAAGCATATTCCTGCCATCCCAAGTGAGGAGGATCGTGGGTGGCACTCAACAGGGTGGGTGAAAAGGGGCCAGGACCAACTTCTGCTGCATCAGAACTCAGAGGAAGGGGCTGGGGGATGGGAGCAGGACATCAAGAGAAGGCAAAAGGAAGAGGCTTCTTCATGGCCATGGCTCTGACAAGAAGCTGTGACAGCAGAGCAAGGCCCCAGCTGACAACATCAGCATGCCCACCGAGGGGAACATGGAGTTTTCCTCTTGCTTAAATGCTCTCGTGACTTCCTGCTCCCAAACCTCAGGCCCTTCCTTCCAAATTAACTCCCAACAGGACGTTTTCACCATCCCACCCCCACTTACCTCCTGCTTCCAAAGAGGTGGAGACCATACATTGAGCATATTACGAGAACAGCAATAAATTGGATTTAATTTGCAATTAAAGGTCCCCTACCTTGCTTTGTGGGTTCTGTTCCCTTGAGGGCTGCCCACGGTGACAGTGGCATTTGAGAAGGCTGTCTCTGCAGAGGTGTTGGTGGCTTTGCCATTGCTCAGCTCCATGTAGGTGCTGTTGAGGGAGTAGGTGACGAGGCCATCGCTGTCCTCGTAGTCCACGTAGAGACTGTCCATGGGTGACCCCACCGAGTTGATTGGGTCCCCCTGGGCGAAGATGCTGTTCATGGTCACGTTGAGCAGCAGCTCCTTGGAGTCTGAGGTCTTGCCCAGCAGCTTGTCCGTGATGGCATTCTCCAGAAGGAACTCCCTGGAGCTGAGCCTGGGCTCGTCATGGTCTGTCTGGTAAGTAGACCTGGTTACGTTTGAATCTAGATTGGAGCCAACAGGGGGGAAACCACAGTGACAACCACAAAATGCATCGAGGCTGGGAGGGAAAAGCAGCCCAGAGCAGCGGGGATGGAGCCTGAGCAGCCACACGGGGGGGGAGAGAGGCAGGGTTGGGTTGTGGGGAAGGGGAATTTCATGGGGTGCAGCTTTAGGGGGGGCTTATCCTGCTATGGTGTGGCCAGAGGGGAGCTCAGCACCCGCCAGCACTGCCCAAAGCAATAGCAGAGGTGAAAGGAAGGTGCCCTCCTGGCCCCACAGCCCATGCAGCCATGCTGGGAAGGCACTCCAGGCACTTTGGGGGTGGGATGCCCAAGGGACCCCAATGGGAAGGAGTTGCTGGGGGCTTTGGAGGGGTGGGAGGTGACAGGGGATGTCGTGATGGGGAGTTTTGTGCACCCAGGGCTCCCTCCTGTCCTTGGCATGAGGCAAAGCACAGCAGGGCACCAGCAGGGAGATCTCACCCAGTGTCCACCCCCCACACGCCCCCACCAGAAACCAGAATCTGAAGGGCAAAGAGGATTTGTGAGCAGAGATGTTTTAAAGAACTTTCCGAGGTTTCCAAAACACAAACCAGCAGAACCACCAGAGGTAGAAACAGAGCATTTCTCAACAAGAGCTCTGAGAAGCAGAACAGTGAGGCCCAAGTCTCCTCCTTACCTTGGGGTTGTTTGCCCTTCAGTTTTGGCTCACAGTCAATTGTTTCTGCTCTTTCATAGACCTCATTGGTTTCCTGACCTTTGCTCAAGTTTAAATCTTCCTCCGTGTCCTGCCTTCCAAACACCTGGTTCTCCAAGTCTATCCTTTCCCTGGAGATTTTCCCAAAATAGGTTGCATTGTGCTGGATAAAGCCCAAGGGCACATCTCCATCGAACTCACGGCTCTCCTCGCTCTCCGACTCAGAGAAGGTGTAGTAGATGGGCTGCAGATTTTTTGAGTGTGGCTTCCTCAGGAGAGTGTATTCAAATGTGATGGACGGGTTCTTGCCATTTTGATTCCAGACCTAGCAAAGAAATCAGGTTATTAGTGGGTGCAGGGAATCTGTGGCACACAAAGCATGGCATTTATCTTGAACCTGAGAGTTGGGGAGCATCACTTTTGCTACTCCCAGTCTGTTTTCCTTCACAGTGCCAACTTCTTCCTGCTGGAGCCCAGCACCATTTCCCAAGGGTTATTTGGCAGTGCTGTTGTGGGGATTAACCCCAGCTCAGGAGCCACAGGTCACGTTTCCTCCTTGGCCACTGAGTGACCAGAGGCTTGAGGCAGCCACTTCACAAGATCAGCACTTGCAAAGCCACTTTTTGTGGAGCACATCCTCTCCTGCAGCTACTACACCCCACAGGGGCTGACTCCCAGCTGAGACAACCTCACAGTGGTCAATGCTTTGTAAGCACCCAAGCAACCATCTCTTCCCCTTCCAGAGGGGCCTGGGGCTGCATGGAAGATGTCAGGAGTCGGGCTCTGGCTGGATGCCCAGGAGAAAATTAAGAGACTTTTCTCCAAATACCTGGTTTTACATGGTTTGCTTTCGAGAAAGAATTGGGGTTTAAGGTTTATGCACTTGTCTAAGCTCTCTGGCCCAGTTTCTTATTTTTGCTCTTCCTGCCAGGTAACTTGGATAAAAATGCCAAGGAGCAGAAGAGAAATCCCCTTGCAGTGCCTGAGGCATCTTCTCGCTGCAAAGAGGAGCAACCAAGCCCACATTCACCACTCACAGCCCTGCCTGAGCCCAAGAGCACTAACACAAGTAAAATAGGGCTGGGTAAGGAATTGAGCAGTCACTTCTCCCACTCCCCTCCTCTTGTGAAACCACAGCAGGACTCTGCTCCCAGGCTCACCCCTTCCTCAATCCAAGTTGAATTTTCTCTTCCCCATCATGAGAACGTGAGAAGTCAAAGCTCACCATTATGTTCAGCCCTTGATTTGTGGGTCCCTGGGCAACAATGTACTCGATCCCAGTCTCGTACACATCCATGGGCCGGCGGTACTTGAACACCGTGCCTGCAATGTTGAAGTTCTTTGGGCTGTCCACTTTATAGTTCCCATTGAAGAAATAGTACCCAGCTTCATCAGCCACAGCTTCAAAGGAGAGAGAACAGCCACATAAGAATAGTTTCTTCAAAGGAAAGTTGCTGTCACATGCAAGGGCAAGCTCTGGTTGCTGCTCCTGGTTCACTCAGGGGGTAAAATCAGTGCCACAGCAATAAAATGAGAGATTTTCCTACATGGCAAAGCACTGGCCACCTGTTTGCAACACACACCATGTGAGGATGTGAGCTCAGAGTTCTGGGCCACGTGTCCCTCCACACTGCAAAACCCCTGGGGTATGTGGCTCACACTCACCCCTGGCTGCTGTCACCCCCTTGGCACCAGCCCAGCAGGAACATTGGACAGTCCCAGCTCTGCAGAGAGCACTGGCAGGTGGCCAAGGGCAGGAGCTGATGCCCCCTGAGCCAGCAGTGGCCCAAGACAGGTCACTCTGAGCTAGCCCATGGTAACCACATGAAGCCTTTTTCATCCATAGAATCATCCTGGAATGGTTTGCGTTGGAAGGGACCTTGGAGCTCATCTCATCCTGCCATGGGCAGGGACACCTTCCACTGGACCAAGCTGCTCAAAATCCCATCCAGCCTGGCCTTGAACACTTGCAAGGATGGGACAGCCACCTTCCATAGGCCACAAGGCTCTGAGGCACCAAATGTGCTTCTCTTTGGCAAGTCTGGATTTTTCCACACTGCTCCTGAGCATCTCTGTCACCTCCCCCGTGAGATGGGTGTGTGGTCACCAACATTTCAGCAAGGCCACATGAAGGTCCCATCCCCTTGGTGCTGTTGTCATTGCACACTCCCCGGGCAGGACAATGTTAAGGGGATCATGAGAGAAGTGAAGTCACTTGGCCATCTGTGACCCAGCACCAGGGCATGTCACACCCCACTGAAATCCCAGTAATATTCACTGGCAGTTTCTGCTTTAAAGCAATCAAAATGCTGACAAACACAGCCCAGGTGCTCAGACTACAGAGAGGAACAACACCCTGGCTTGGACAACACAGCTGGATTTACATTGCCTACAGATTTAACTCATGTCTGCAACAAACAGACTCGCTGATCCTTGTGGGTCCCTTCCAACTCAGGATATTCTGTGATTCTATGACAAAAACTACATCCAGCTCCACATTGGAAAAAGCATTAGCCAGCATAGGCATGCATGCTAGGGAAGTACCAAGAGGTTGTACACACCCAGAACATCTGCAGACTTTTTCCGTTCCACTATCTGGATATCCCTGGCTCCGGCGGGAATGTGCGTTACCAGGGAATAGCCTACGGGAAACTACGGATTAATGAAAGGATCTTTGTAACCAGTGATCTGAACAAAACCCTCCTCAGGCAGAGCTGCAATCTATCAAACACGCTGGCCTGGACCCACGTTTTTAATGAGCTATGGATTAAAAAGCCCCAACCCTGCAAACAGGAGTTTATCGGTAATAGAAAAGAAAAATGTGTCAATCCTGTGTCCTGGTTTATGGAGGAAAAACGCACCCAAGGGGGGAAAGGATTCAATTCTTACATGCAAAAATATCATGCTTATCTAAATTGGTGTAAGGAAATACATCTGCAGATGGTTTTATTAGCTAGAGAAGCTGTTGTATTGTTCAGTATTGATCTCTGAATTAATCAGCACTCCCAAAACCCCAGCAGGAGATGGGAGCTGATTTCTCCTCTGACTCCCCTTTGCTCAACACCAGACAAGAGACGGGACAGGACAAGTCCTCCCACAGCACCGAAGTTCCTGCAGTTTGCTCCATCTCAGAGAGCATTAATCATAATTCCTGAATTAGATTGTTATATTTAGGACATGTAGGTTCGGCTGCTTTACATCACACTGACTCTTGAAATCCTGGTCTTTCAAGATACTGTTGCTTCCTGTTATTACAAATCGTTTATTTCTAGTCTTACTGGGTCATGAGTGTCTTGTTTTTGGCTAAATGACTAAAAAAGACTAAAATAGATACCAGCTCTTGCATAACCCTTTCACACCACTCATCAGAGACCTCTGGTTTCTGACAAGCACCACACAAATTTCCTGTTTGGGTTTGTTGTTTTGGTTTTTGTTTTTTTAAGAAGGTTTTCTCTGCCCAGACTCACAAGTGGCATCAATACACATAGAACACGTGGGAAAAACTGAAGCTGGGCAATTGATAAGACCTGAAAGCAATTCACCAAAAAAAAAAAAAAAAAAAAAAAAAAAAAAAAAAAAAAAAAAAAAAAAAAAAAAAGTCCATTTTAAACCCAGCCCTCTCAACTGAAGCCCTCAGTCCCCAAAGCCTTACCAAGATGAGAATTTCCTTTCCGGTAACTGCCGGTTACGTGGGTGCAGCTGCTCCCATCTCCTTGGCAAACTCCACATTTATCCAAGGTGTGGGTGGAAAAGAGAATGCCATCACAGCCAATGGGCTAAAAAATGCACAGGCAGAGCACTGAGGGTCAGGCAAACGTCGCACCCATTGTGATTCTCTGAATGCTACTAACAATATTTTTGCTATAATGTTTAACAACCTCACATTTTCCAGACACGCAAACCCCTCGGAAATCCGTGTATTTGCAGGATGTTCCATCCCTGGCCTGAACCATTAACTGTCTCTGACCATCCACAGTGGTGCAATGAAGGTCACAGGGCTTGCTAGAAATGTGAACATAGTCATCTAAGGGGAAAGGATATAAAGAGAGATTCAAACACAGCAGAAACACCACAACTTTCATCCTACCCAAGCCAGTGAATCTCTGCCAAGCTAAATAACAGCAGCACAACAGCAGAGCAGCGAGTTCAGAAGCTGCCATCCCTTGTGTCTCAAGATAGACAGGAGATGGCACTTGGACAGAGTGACAGCCTTTGCACAGGCTGGCAGGAAGAGACGCCCCAGGGATGCCAGGGGCATCACCAGCACCAGCCTGGGGCAGGCACTGAGGCAGCAGCACTGCTTTGTGCAGGGACTCATGTACATTACACAAAAACATGCATGTTCACTTAGCAGCACTCGATACAGGAGTTAAATTTACAGATATATTGTTGGAAATACACATGTAAGACTACGTTCGAAACCATAGCAACCCAGGGCATTTTATAATCTGCAACTTTTCCTTAAACATTCACCCAAAATGGACTTAATTCACCCTTTGCTTTCTGTAGACAACAACTGGCTGGCAGCACTCACCAGCACAGTAATCCCACATTTTATAATGTCCACAGGAAGCAGATGACAAACTCATATTTGCATCAGAACCCTGATGCCAAGTGTTTGTCTCCACCAGCTCCTGTGCAATCAGAGACCCACTGGCCTGCACACCCAAGCAAGGCAGCATCAGTGTCAAAATATTCTGCTGCAAACCCCCCCCAGGAGCCACAGGAAGGCCTGCTTAAACACAAAAATTCCTGCAACACCTCTGAGAGAGGTGAGTCAACTTGAACAGCAGATATTTAAGGAAATTGTCACCTTCAAGGGGCAAAAGCTACCAAGGAGAGATATCTCATGGACCAAGTTCTTCCTTGCTGACCCTGCAGAGGCTGGAGAGCCAGGGGCTTGGTACACAGGGAAATTGATTTGATGAAGATAATTGTTCTTGGGTATGTACAGAGAGCCCTAAAGCAAAGCTGTATTAGATCCCATCTCTATTTTTAGGAACCCAAATACAAATCTGCAGAACTGAGCTCAGGAGCCTCCTCAGGAGAAGGGTCCTGGCTTCCCAGTAGCTCTAAAGCTCATCCATGGCTTGTGCTTAATGCTTGATTTTGATGGGAGTTCAGTGCCTAAAAGTTCAATAAAATCTCAGTTTTTGAGTCCCAAGAGGTTTCTGCAGTTCTTGCTCACCCCAGATGACCAAAGTGACCAGCTGCATCTTGGTGACATTTGACAGAGCACGCAGAGGGCGTGGGAGAGACCAAATATGCCTGAAAACAGCACAGCCAGCAATGGCCATGGCTCAAAGGACACTTGTCCGGCTGAGCCTGACTGTCCCTGCCAGCACAGCCCATCTCCCCTGCTCTCACATCCTCCTGCAGCCTCTGGTCCCTGGGAGCTGTGACCAACACAGGCTACAGACATGAATTCATGTTGTTATTTAATTTTCAAGCTACCCTGCAGCTGCCAAACAAGCCTTTGAACTCGGGAGACAGCTGATTGTGCCTCTGAAAAACCACTTTAAAACAGCAGAGGAGGAGCCTTCCTGCGGGCTGTAGCATCATAACTATCAAAATATTTGGCTGAGCATTATGAAACACACAAAGAATGTCTTGTTACCAGGATATAAAGGTTTCCATTGATACGTTCTGCCATTATACACATGGGAGTTAAATGATGAACACTGCTCCTCTCGAAAGCTCCTTCCGTTCACAGGGCACTCCTAGAATGGGATACATTAACATCCTGACGGAAACAAAGTGCAGGAAAGGTTTCTGGCACATCACCACCAGCTGCAAGGAGTGTTTCCATCACCTTCCCCAGCCAGGGCCACATCCTCCTCCTCCTCCTCGTCTTCCTCCCCCCACTGCAGGGACCCCCTGGGAATTGTTGCCAGAGCCACTCTTTGGATTTTATGGCAAAATGCCCAAAGCCCAGGCACTGGTGATGGGCACCAAAGAAGGGAACCCCCAGCTGCTTGCAGGGGCAACAGGGTGACAGCTACAGGACAAATGGTGTCCCCTCTCCCAGAGGGACCCAAAAATGCCATACATGACTTTCCACACTGACTGTTCCCAACGAGACAAAGGATATCCTTACTTGGACTTTGCAGAGCTGGTATCTTTTGGATGTTCCAGTGCAAGTTTTATTAGCCAGCCCACTCACTGACTTCCTTCTGAGTAAAGAAATGGTGGTTAGACAGGGGGCAGAAATAATTTTCCCTTGTTTAAATGTATTTATTCTCTGCCTCTGTAAGGTCAGTGCCCATGCAGCAGAGGCACACAGATCTGTCAGTCTCCCTGGAGCTGGTAGCAAAGGTCTCTGTGGCTTTGTCACCTGCATCATCAACTATTCCAGGAGGTATCATGGGATGAGGGCCTGGGGACAAGGTTTACAAAGTGGCTTTTGGCAGGCACACTGCCCAGAGAGGGCAGAGCCAGGCACAAAGCAGATGGCATCGGGGGTCCCCAAGCAGCTCTGCACGAGGGGGTCCTCACTCTCATGCCCCAAAGCCTCAAGAACAGGCTCAGTCTGTGTCTGCTGCCCCTCTGCACCAATCCCTGCTGGAGAAACTGCACAGGAAGCACAGGAATCAGCTGCTGCTCCTGGCAGGGATGCCCAAAGCTCAGGAAACCAGCTCCTGCTCAAGCAGGGTTTGCCAGACACATTTCCATCAGTTCTTCTCTCTGAGGGGTGACCTTTTGGGTCAGCCATCTGCAGACCCTGTCCCCAGCCCCTGGGTGCTGTACCTCTGCCTCAGGCAGTGCCTCTCCTGGGATTTGACACCTCCCCCGCAGGTCCTGGTGCACGCTGTCCACTTGGTCCACTCTCCCCACCAGTAAGCAGTGACATCTGACCCCTCCTCCAGGCTGTTGGACGTCTGTGTCAGGTCCTGCTGGGAGCACGGGGGAGGGAAGAGAAGCAGGAGTCACATCCAAACCTCCGAGCCTGGGTGGGGACACTGAGGGCACCCCTCCCCTCCCAGCCTGCCCCACTCGACCCAAGCATTGCCTTCTCCAGCTGAGGTCAAGCCTGAGGTTTCCATCCCTGCATTCTTGCAATTGTGTTTTCATTACAAAATTGGAATGAAGTGGCAATATTTGGGATTCCTCAGGAAAGGAAATTCTCATTGTTTCGCTCAGTTGGCAAAACCGAGCTCCCAAACAACCCTAAACTCTCTGAGACTCTCGGTGCTCTCTGACTCTTGCTCCACAGAGAATTCAGGGAGCTGGAGAGCCAGCTACAGCTGAAAGCTCCACTGGAAGCTTCAACAAATCCTTGCAAAACCCCTCTGCAGCAGGAGAGCCGGCCAGTGGGTGCCAGGGGCTGCCAGCAGGGTGGAGGAGCCTGTGTGCTCTCTTTGCCAGCACAGGTTTGTCACTTCAGGAGGGTCCCTGACACCCCCACCTCTCACCCCCTGTTGTGACCATGCATCAGAGGGCAAAGAAACTGCAAATATTGCATGCAAAGTAAATGAAAACTCCAGCCACTGCAGGGAGCAAGGAGTGATGCTCATCCAAGAGCAGGGCATGGCCCTTCAGAGTCCTTGAATTGCTCTGTGAATGCTCTTAGCCATGGAAGGTACAACTTAGGTTAAGCCCAGAGTAAAGAGTGAAGGCAAGTCAAAAGTCCTCACAATTTTTGGAGACCTGGTGCATGCACAGAGTAGCTCTGCAAGCCCAGGGGTTCCCATCTCAGACAGAGCATTTCAAGGCCCACAGACTTCCCAAAACACATGACACCTTTACCTGAGCTATGACAAAGACAGCGTTGCCCACAAGAAGAAGGGCCAGGGTGCCTTTGAGCTGCGACTGAGCACTGATGGAGATGCTGCTCCACCTCCACTTGGATATCTTCATCCTAGAAAGCAACCAAACACTGCACTGAGCACAACTCCCCCCCAGCCCCATGGCCAGAAGCAGGGGCTGCTTTGCCTGGGTTCCACAGCTCTGCTCCAGCATCCCTGCTCAGCTTGGTGACACCAGTGACTGCAGGGACGTGAGCCTGAAGTTTTAATTAATTAGTAGAAGTATTAGCATGGTACAGGTTCATTTCCCAGCTCGGTTTTTATCTGTCAAACCACAACTTCGCACTGGTTTCCAGTGGCTGCACCTGACACTGCTCCAAGCCTGCCTTGGAAGAGAGCCTGGCTCACACCGAAGCAAGCATTGCACAGTGAGTAGCCAGAAGTGTTCCTGGATCTATAAAAGCAGTGCATTTAAATATCCCCATTTACAGGGCTGCTTCTGGAAGAATGAGATGAAAGGCTCCAAAAACAAAAAAACTGCAATTAACAGCCATTATTCCTCCTTTTTTTCCATTTATTCCACTCCAATTCCTCTCAGTTCCCAGGGAAGATGCCTGTTCTTACAGAAAAGACACGACCCACAATTAAAGAGCAGAAATGAAGTATCCCAAGTGTCAGCCTTTCATCTCCTTCTCCATCTGCCTCATGAAAGAGAATAACCCAGAATGGCATTTTCTTAAATAAAACCCGGTTCAAAACCACAATACGTTTTATTGTGAACCTCCCTGCAAGAGCCAGAAAGGAGCAGGTTTCAGGAAATCATGCTTCCAGGCAATCAAAGCAGCCCATGTCTGTAAGGAGAAAGAAAGAAAAAATATCCTCCCCTAAGCTAATTTCCCTTGAAAAGCAGCTGGACGGTATCTTTGGGAAGCAGGGGGGTGGGAGAGGTGCTGCTCCTGGGGAGAGAGGGCAGGACTGCAGACCTGCAATATAAAGAGCTTCTTTCCTACTCATTTTTTGTTTGGTTGAGGGGTTTTTTTTCCTCCTTGCAAAGGTTTTTGTAGCGGTTTTGAAATCGCAGAATTGCCGGCAACACCAGCCCTGCTTTGCTGTCTGGCTTAGAAAAATTACCGGAGGGTTTCCAGGTCCCTAAATCCGCTCTGCAATCGCCTTGGGGGAGAGGTCCAGCATGCTAAAGAGACTTTCCAAGAGGCAGATCCATTGATTAATGGGAGCCCAGAGCGCTTGGCCGGGGATCCCGTGGACAGGTGGCTGAGCCTTGCCTTACACTTGGTTCTCATTAAGGCTCCCAGACACTCCTGACTCGAAGCCAATACCAGAGCGCGCTCCGAGTTTATCCTACAGGCGCTCGGGGCTGCGTGCTTAAATGAAGGGAAAATTAAGAAAGGCGGGAGGGATGTGGCTGAACAGCATCGCGGAGCCGGTACCGGGACAGCCCCGCACGGGAGATGCGGGGCCGGGGATGCGGGGTCGGGATGGGGGGACGGGGATGCGGAGCGGGGATGCGGGGCTCCATCTCCGCGGAACGGGCAACGGGGAAGGGTCCGGCCAGGCGCGACACCCGCGGGGCCGGGATGGGACGGACGGGACAGGACGGGCCGTACCTGGCAGCGGAGGAGCCGGGCAGGACGATGCTCCGGAGCCGGGCGGGAGCGGCGGCGGCGGCGCGGAGCGGAGCAGCGGCGGCGGCCCCAGACGCTCCCTCCCTCCCTCCTTCTCCCTCTCCGACTTCAAAGGGCAGCCAAAAGCGCCGGGGCTTCCAGCGAGGAGGAGCCGCCGCAGTGGCTCCCCCCAGCCCGCGCCGGCCGCTCTTATAGCGGAGACGGGGGGGAGGCAGGGGGGAGAGCGGGCGGAATTCACACCTCTCGGCCCGGGATGCCCCCACCCCGGTTAACCCCTCGCCTCCCCCGGCGCCGGCCCGCGGCCGCCAGCCGGTTTCCTGAGGCGAGACCGGGGGGGCACAGGCGGGGGGAGCCCGCACCGCACGCATGCGTTCCCGCTGGTCCAAGCAGCGCAGGATTCCCCCCGGGAACCCCCGGGAGGATGCTGAGCTTTCCTCCTTCCCCGGGGACCCTCCGGAGGATGCTCCGCTTCCCCTCCACCGGGAGGATGCTGAGCTTTCCCCCTTCCCCGAGCACTCCACCGGGAGGATGCTGCGCTTTCCCCCCTCCCCGGGAACCCTCCGGAGGATGCTCCGCTTTCCCCGTACCCCCGGCACTCCCCGGAGGATGCTGTGCTCCCTTCCCCGGGAGGCAGAACGGTACCTGCTGCCCTTATCCCTCTGCTCACCCCATCATCCCAGATCACCAAAAAACTGCCGGTACCTCCACGGGCATTGTGCAGCCACATCCTGCCTCTGGGATGGCCAGGGGGATGGCTGGATACGGTCTGCCAAGCTTTTAATTTCACTTGCTGCTGAAAAAATGAGCCAAATCCTCAAGGTCCTGTGCTTTTGGTGTCTTTTGGTAAAGCTCAGTGCCAGTCTTGCTGCTTGAAACAGTTTTCTGCAATTCTGCAGAAAATGGGGTCAGAAAATTGGTTTGAGGCACGTCAAGAGCCATTTTGGATGGGGACAAAACCCCCTGGCTCAGCAACAGCCATGCACAGGTTGAGTCTGATCTGTGTTTGTGTTCCTGGGAGAAAAGCCTGTGGGGTAAGAAGGGCACAGCTACTGTGTTTGCAACCTATATTTGATACATGATACATCTGTCTGAGGTCTGTACGTGTCAAATGTGGTGACACTCATTCCTGTACATTCCTCAGCACATCCCAGCAGCTCTGAGCAGCCCACCTGAACAATTCCTACATCCCACCAGACATCCTTCAGCTCCTTCCCTCCCTGCACAGGGCAAAACCAGTGCTCCCAGCAGGGCACTGCACTCAAGGCCATCACTGCAGCTTGTCCCACTGGAGTTTGATGGCAACGTTCAGCCCTGTCACCATTTGTCACGGGCCAGGAGCACCCATCTGCAGGGCCCTGAGGTGATTGTCCCCCCACCGTGGGGCTCAGCTTCCCACACAGCTCCTGCAGAAATCACAGAGTTGTTAATTTGGACCCAGTCCTCCCAGGGATGTCTGTGTGACAGAGAATCCGTCCCAAAAAATTTACATGGGAAATGAAGTCTCCTTTTCTGTTTGGCTAAATGTCTGCCAGCCTGTTCTAATTTACCCAGCCAGGTTGATTTGCAACTTTCAATTTTCCATCGGTTGGCTGTGACCAGGACATCGGGAAAATTTAGCACTTGAGTTCACCCAACTCCTGCATTTCAAAATATCCCAGCCCGAGACATGCAGGAGAAAACCCTTTCCGTTTTGGAACAACCAGGAGGGAAAAGTCTGAACACGAGAGGTTTTAAAAGCATCGAATTATTTCACATTGAAAATGCCAGAGCAGCCTGGGTCCCTGTGAGCCCCAGCATCCCCCAGCCCTGGGGTGGGGCAGGAGGTGGCACCCCAGGAGATGCCATCCCTAGGTGACCTCGCAGCCCGTCCTGCTGCAGGGATGTCCTAGGCTGGAGGAGGAATGCCAGAGGGTGGGAATGCTGATCCTGAGGCAAGGACTGGGGGAGCCGGCAGCAGGCGAGACACATTCAGTCTGTGCTTCACCAAAAGTTCATCAAAGCCAAAGGATTTTTTTTTTAATATACTTTTTTTTTTTTTATGAAACAGTTGAGATGACTCAGCGGTTTCTGACGCAATCCCCGTTTCATCGGAAAATTCCTAACCAGCTCCTAGTGGCAACTGATTGCTCCCATAAATCACAGTGTTATCCCTGGCCGCGGCAGCGCAGCTTACGCAGCCCCGGCCCGGCCCCGTGAAATCAGCAGGAGCGATGCCATCGCCTCGACGGGAGCAGAACCAACCCCGAGAACAAACTGCAGCGGAGAGCAGATCCAAAACACGAGTTTCACTTCGGCCAAACGCCGCAGCTTCAACTCCTGCCACCCCAAAATCCCCAGGGGCAGCACTGTCCCCAAAGCCCCGGGGCCGTGGGTGCTGCTGCCGCAGGTACAGCATTAATCACGGCTGGCCAGGCTCAGACAACAGCGGGTTTTATCTCCCAGGTTTTGGCAGGAGCGTTAGAAATGATTTGCAGATGTTATTTACTGCTTTGGGGCTCGCAGTAAATTGAGACAAGATGCACCTGCATGGACAGCGAGAGGCTTTCCCACCCGGGACGGTCGCTGAGGACTCGTGTTGGACTTTCCCAGGGAAATTCAGGATTTGGATGAGAGTCCCTTATCCAGCTCCGCTCCCTGCATCCCGCGCTAGGGCGAGGCAGCGCAGCAATCCGTGTGCTGGGCATTCACTGGCCCCGACAGCCACCCCGAGGGACACAGAGCAGCCCTGCCCCAGGCAGCTGCCAGGCTTTTCCATCCCAAACCGGTGCCGTGCAGAACACAGAGTGCAAAAAAAAGAAAGAAAAAAAAAAAAACCAAAAAAAAACCAGCGACAGACACTTCTCCAGTCGGGGGAGCGTTGCCGGCGACTGGCTGCTGGTTTGGCCGGAGAAGTGCCTGGGGAGGAAAGGAGTTTCCTTGGCTGAAAGGAGTTCAACACAGCGCTGGGCTGGGCACTGGTGCTGCTGGCAGGAGCCAGGGATGCTCAGCTGAGTGGAGAAACTCGGGGTTCTGCAGGACCAGGACCGAGGCAGGGCTGGGGGATCCCTTTGCTGGCACAGCTCCTCCGTGGCAGAGGGACCTCCCTCCTTGGCCTGGAGCAGAGAGTGACAGGATCCAGCTCTGATCCAAGCAGGACACACTGACCTCCTCCCTGGGCTTCCCAGGGCAGGACACTTTTCCATCCTGACCCGAGCACTGGCCTTTGGACCTGCTGGAGCTGACAGCCAGCATCCCTGAGCCCCAAGCACATCCCTGGAACAATCCCTCCATGAGCTCTGTGCCACGGGACCTGCTCTTGGTGAGCCAGAGCCATGGATATGGAGCTCCAGCACCACTTTCCCAGCCAAATCAGCCCTTTCCTGGCTCAGCCCTTGCACTGGCACAGCAGATGGAATGGCTCTGCTGTAGCCAGGCCCCCCAAAATTCCTGCCCAGGTCCAAGAGCATGGTCAGGAGTCTGTTGGCCCAGGACCCCTCAGCAGCTCCATCTTCTCTCAGGGATGACACAACTGATTGGTTTTCTTCCTTTTAAATCCTGACTGCTGAAGTGATGCATTTCTTTGACACTTCTGCATTTATTTCCAGGCCAGACTGGTGTGGCATGGGCCGATTAAAGCTGTCCACAGAGTGTGTGAGGTCCCTGCACGACCAGAACTTTGCCAAGGGGATCAAAGACCCCCAAAAAGCCCCTGGCAGCCAAGAGCTGCAGCTGTGGCCCACTTTTACCACTGGGTAAAAGAAGCAAGAGGAGACCAAAAGAAGTGCTCTTTAGAGGCAGAAGTGTTCCTCAGAGGCAGAAGTGTTCCTCAGAGCTGGTCCCTTGCAGAGTGACCTGCGGCGCAGTGTTGGGCAAGGCAGCTCATCCCTGCGTGTCCCCACGCTCTGGGGACGGGGCTGATTTATGGCACGTTGGCCTGAGGGTTTCATCCGAAGAGATTTGCAAAATCTTGAGTCAAACTGAACCAGACAAGGCCACCGAGCTGCTCTCACCACCAGATTCCTGTGAAAAATATCTCGGGGCAATCTGAAAGCCACGAGCGACCGCAGTGACCCCAGGTATGGTCGTGGCTGTAGAGTTTCAATGGTTTCAAGAACCTCTTTTTTTCTGTGCAGACTTCAACTTTACCTGTCCCCAAAGGTTGCAAGACATTCCTGCAAGAACCTGAAGGAGCTTCCAGGCGAGTCAGGCTCGGTTTGAATTTTTAGCTATTCAAAGATTGAAGAAAAAAAAAAGTACAAAGGCTTTTCTTTGAATGGAATGAGTCTGACATGGAAGTTGAGCAGTATTGTGCTGAGGGCCATCAGCTATGCAGGCCTGCCAACCACAGGCATTCAAAATCCGTGAGTCAGACTCCCCAAAAACCCTAAGACTGGTTTCATTCTCTTTTTGGATTTTGAGCCTTGAAGCATCACAGCTTCAAGCGTTTCTCTGCAGAAAATGACATTTTTTTGACCAACAGGGTGAGAGCTGAGACCCTCAACGTCGTTACTGGGCTCCAGAAGTTATGACTGTAAAAAAAACCCCATTAAACACCACGAAATGAGCAATAAACCCCTGCACTGCCTCCATGAATTTGACAGTGGGGGGCCACTCCAGGACACCCCAAAGGTAGGAGTGATGGAAAACTGATGACAGAAAATCAGATGTCCTTATCATTAATGCTGACATGCTTGTCATGGGCCATGACAGGGCTGAGAGGAAAGGGAAGAGTGAAAAACCCTAAGGAAAACAGCAGCAGGAATACCTGTGAGCAATATGCATAATAGGTTTATTCAACAGGGAGACAGGAAGGGGGATTTTTTTTTTTTTTTAAGGGTAAGTATTCAGCTAAACCGCCTCAAATGGGGCCAGGCCTTAGGGAGAATGGATATTTTAAGTGGCAATTTATTCCAGTAATAAAATGAGAAGGATGCAGGTGCTTTGGCAGGGCTGGGCCTGGGTGATCAGAGCTGGGGCTGCAGCAGTGGCCAAGCGAGGGCTCCAGCACAGCTGGTGGCTCTGCCTTTATGGGGCTCCTTTCCCCGGTGCCAGGGCCCGTGTCTGGGTTCCAGCTGGCCAGAAAGCGTTGCCCACATCAGGATCTCACCTCCAGCCCTGGTCAGAGGCAGCAGTGGGTGGGGAGAGGTGTTTTATCCAGGTGCTGCTGCCATCCCTTCTCCAGCTAGGCAGGAAAGGGCTCGTGCCCGTGGGCTGCTCCACTCCTGCACCAGCTGCTTCCACACCAGGAGGATTCTTGACCAAAAGAAGACAGGAAATCTTCACAAACTGGCTGGTGCCATGCTGGTCAGATTGCTCAGGGCTCCTCAGGGCTCTGCCACATCCACTGCTGAGACCATCCAGCTTCTCACCATCAAAGTGCACAAACTGAAGGCTTGTGGGGATGAAAAATTACACTCTCGAGTAATGGGAGTGGTGAAAAACACTTTGCAGCATCACAGTCCTTCAAACTGCGAGCCCAGGTAGAAGTGCAGCTTCACTCTTTGTTTTTGGGTCATTATCACCAGTATTTCCAGCCTGGCAGTGACTGGGGACACTCAGCAGAGCAGGTTTCAATTCTGACCCAGTCTACACCACAGGCAGATGAAAGATCATCCCATAGTTACCCCAAGGAGAAAATACTCTCAATACTCTCTCAGCTGGCACAGCCCCCTCATCCCCTGTTCCAACATACACTGCTCTCAAACCATCACCCTCATATTAAAAATAAAACAAAACTCTCTGTGTCTCTTTCCTTCACTGCAACGTCTGAGCTGAAAGGGTAGAAGTGCTTGCAGAAAACCATGGTTAATGTTACCCTGGAAGGATCCAGGACAGCATACCAGAACCTGGGTTTGGCATCTGGGAGCCACTTTTCAGCCATATATATCACCGTTCCTGCGTGCACGCCGATCCACACCAAATTAGCCCTGTGGAATGCAGATTTTAAAATTCCCTTTCCAGCAGCACTTAAACGCAGGAGCTAAAATTTGCTCTTTCTCCATTTCCTACCTGTTTAGGAAAGAAGGAACAAAGTCCTGGCCCTTTGTTTTTTGGGTTCCTTCCCGGGAAGGTTTGCCCAACCCACGTCTGCACCGTGGTGTTTGCAGCCTGAACAAAGACCTTTTAAGCAGCAGCAGCTCCTGCCAGGAGCTCACCACCTGCCTGCCCCTCTCCTCCCCATTTATTTTGGGGGCTCTTTTTCAATAATAGCTGTAACACGTGTGCAACCCTGTGGGAGTTTTTTTTCCCCCCATGCCTACAGTGCTGGCTGCAACCCAACCGCCAGCCCAGGGTGTGCAGCTGGGAGAGAGAGAGAAAAAAAAAAAAAAATTAGAATAAAACCCCAACAACCTGTGGAATGTTTTCTTGCTCCTGAGAGCTCCAGCACTTCCCTGCTTGGGGAGTGCCTGCCATGGCTGGCACTTGCTGCATCCAGCAGCCAACGGGGTTTCCTTTCCAGTGGGAGCCAGCTGGAATTTGGGCAAAGGCTGGGGGTGAGGGGGATGCGTTTAACAACTGCCTGATGGTGCTTTTCACCTGATGCCTTTCGCCTTGTGCACAACCACCACCCTTGCAAGTCCTTGCTGCACACAAGCGTCCTCACGAGAGGTGTGGGGGCTGCTTTGCACCCAGACATGGAGGTTTGCCCTCAGCAGCAGGTTTTGAGCTGTGCTTTCACCTCTCTGACACACATTTCATGGCCACAAAAGCAGGGCAGGTGATGTTTCCATAGACGGGAATCCAGAGTGGTTTGTGCAACCTCTTAACCCCAAAACTGCTCAAAACCCTCCTGAGGACAAGCCCTGCTGTGCCTCACAGCACTGTCCTCAGTCCAAGCAGATCATGAACATAGAATAATGGATTCATCTGAGGATATGACCCAAAAAAAGGAGCAGGGTACTTTGGGATGTGCTGGAGCTCTGCTTTCAGCTCAGGGCTGGACACCTGGGGAGCATCAGGGTATTTATGTGCTGGCTTGGAGGGATTCATTTTCACAGTAAATAGGGACACCAGAGTTTTTCAATATTTATTGGTCAAGATTCAGTTTTGCAGAGTTTTGTGGTAAGTTTATAGCCTGCCCAGGCAGGAGGGCTGCTGGAGATGTGGGCAGCATCCCACGGAGGGATGCTGCCTGCAGCCAGCCAGGAAATGTGGATGGTTCCTGCAGTATCAGCTAAAAACGGGAGCCCTACCCAGCTCGTCTGAGCCGTGCCCTGGGCACAGAGTCAGTGCTGTAATGCTCTGTGCCATTCCCTGCACACACACACAC